CCCTGCACCCCACCCATCCCAAACACCCAAGTTGCACCTTCTCCACGCCACCCTACACTTAGATATGCCTAGTACTATTATCTGCCTGATGCTTTAATTTCCCAATGACCAAAACTTTGTCCTGAACGTTTGTAGCTTTACAATGAGGAGTTGATTGATCTATTTGACAATGAAAACAGGGTAAGAATTCTATTTAATTTGTCACTACAGCGTGATGATTGATTAACATCTGGCAGTGTTTTTGAAATGTATATATTTTGAACTAGGGTGCTGGCAAACATATCAAAATTCATGAAGATACAAACGGTGGTATTTATACTGTCGGTGTTACAATGAAACACGTCACTTCGGCTAAAGAGGTATACAATCATCTTTAAATAAATATTTTGGCAAAAGTGGTTTTGAGACAGTGATGGTCTGTTCAACCCATTACGTAATGACAATGGGGCATTAAACAGGATAAAGTGATAGTCCAAGTGGTTAGCGCACTTGCCTTTCACCTCTGAGGCTGCAGGTTCGAATCTCACTAAGTACCTTCTCAGTGCGACACGAACCCAGTCCTCATGCGAAAAGAGTAAAAAGTCAACGCTCTGCCGAAAGACGTGGGTTTTCCCCGGGTACTCCGGTTTCCTCCCACAGGGAAAGTTGACAGGGTGGGTTAGGTAAAGAGGGCCCACAGTAATTGGCATATGCTGTTGTGGTGACCCTGCCCTAGTTGGCAAAGCTAAATAAATAAAAGACTAGGGGCATTAATTATACTTGTGTATTACTCCTTTTAGACGTTAAACAGTTTACAACAAGGCGCGCTGTCTAGGACAACGGCCAGTACAAACATGAATGCTCAATCATCAAGATCTCACGCAATTTTTACGCTCCACATCACACAACAGCGAGTTGTCAAGGTATGCAGCCCTGTTCTAGTTGTGGTTAGAGAAGAGGAAGCTTTAAGAAAACCCTCATTCAAACTCTCGCTTACCAACTCTCATCCTCTGTTGAGCAGGTCTTAACACTTATCATTTTACTCCTAGCTCAACGACGACGAGACGATGTCCAATGGCGTCCAAGGTCAAAACTTTGAGTACGAAATGTTGACTGCCAAGTTCAATTTTGTCGATCTGGCTGGTTCCGAGCGATTAAAGAGGACTGGAGCGACTGGTGATCGGGCCAAGGAGGGGATATCTATCAACTGTGGCTTGGTAAGCTAGCTTCAGATTATACAGGGTGTGCTTGGGCAAGGCTAAGCCAGTTTATTCGTGGCCTTGGGTAGTTTTTAGCGAGCTTAAGATGCGCCAAATCTGCGACGTTGACGCGACTAAAAAACAGTCGCTAATAATGGGAGACAAGTTTCAATTTGTTTTTCTCGTGTCCCTGGCTTTGTTTACCAACAACAATCCATGGTTTTTACCCGTGAAGTGAAACTATGATAATAGCGGCAGTTTTTCGTCACGTCCGCGTCGTAGATTTAGTATATCTTAAGCTCCCTATTGTTGAAGGAGGAAAACCTAACCACAACTCTACTTACACGAGTTTTCAAAGACAGGGAAGTTATATACACAATCTAAGTAAGTACCCTTCCCTCGACCTACAGCAGCAGGCATAACTTGAGCGGTAAGAGGCAGCCTTGCAAACTCGCACGAAGATTGAAGTTTTCAAGTTCGATTTTTTTTTCCTTAGTTGGCATTAGGCAACGTAATCAGTGCTTTGGGCGACAAAGCAAAGCGTGGCTCCCATGTCCCGTATCGAGACTCTAAACTCACAAGATTGCTACAGGATTCTTTGGGAGGAAACAGGTCAGTATTACATTGCATTCTTGTTTCAAGCTTGAAAAAAGAGCAGGTTCTGTACAGATGATTGAACTATACAGGCGAATGATATAGTTGACAGCAAGCTTGTTATGTTTTAGTCGTACGTTGATGATCGCTTGTGTGAGCCCATCAGATCGAGATTTTATGGAAACATTGAACACTCTCAAGTACGCGAACAGAGCAAGGAATATTAAGAACAAGGTCAGTCCACCCATTTCATTCACATATATAATTTGAATGTTTTGTTACCTTTGTGTACGCTCACATTATCAGAACAGTGGTAACTAGGCATGTGAGTTATCAATTGACTCGCATATGTAACTTAAATGCTTGGTTACCTTTATTCCATTCTATGCTTCATTATCAGAACAGTGGTAACTAGGCATGTGAGTTATCAATTCACTCACATATATAACTTAAATGCTTGGTTACCTTTATTCCATTCTATGCTTCATCAGAACAGTGGTAACTAGGCATGTGAGTTATCAATTGACTCACATATGTAACTTAAATGCTTGGTTACCTTTGTTTCATTCTATGCTTCATTATCAGAACAGTGGTAACTAGGCATGTGAGTTATCAATTGACTCACATATGTAACTTAAATGCTTGGTTACCTTTGTTTCATTCTATGCTTCATTATCAGAACAGTGGTAACTAGGCATGTGAGTTATCAATTCACTCACATATATAACTTAAATGCTTGGTTACCTTTATTCCATTCTATGCTTCATCAGAACAGTGGTAACTAGGCATGTGAGTTATCAATTGACTCACATATGTAACTTAAATGCTTGGTTACCTTTATTCCATTCTATGCTTCATTATCAGAACAGTGGTAACTAGGCATGTGAGTTATCAATTGACTCACATATATAATTTAAATGCTTGGTTACCTTCGTGTCATTCTATGCTTCATTATCAGAACAGTGGTAACTAGGCATGTGAGTTATCAATTGACTCACATATGTAACTTAAATGCTTGGTTACTTTTGTATCATTCTATGCTTCATTATCAGAACAGTGGTAACAAGTTCTGTAGACTAGGTTCTTTGAAAATGAGAGTTCATTTTCACTTCGTGGGAAAAATCCCGCGTGGGATACACGCAGCACACGTGGGTCTCGCGTGGGGTATCCTCGTAACACATCCGGCGTGGAACGTTCCGCGAGTAACACGCGTGAATCTCGTGTCGCGCGTGATAAGTTTAAACCCGCGAACAGGTTCACAAAAGAGCCAGCGCCTAGATGTCACGGAAAGGCGTTCAAACGCGAGAGCCTGCTTAGAAGAGGGATAAATAAGGTGAAGAAGAGTCTTTTTGGGTTAAAAGTGGTAACAAGTTCTGTAGACTAGGTTCTTTGAAAATGTGGATCACACAGAACTTCTCGTTTCTGTATCCAGGTTGTCGTAAATCAAGACAAAGCGAGCAAACAAATCGCAACTTTACGATCAGAAATCCAAACTCTCATGATGGAATTGAACGAATATAAACAGGTATGTAAATACGGTAGCCGAATGACTTTAGGGCTGCGCAGTGCGCGCTCCATGTACACTTCTCATTAACATATTTTCCATCACAGGGTAAGCGTGTAGCTGGCGAAGGCGAGGCTCACATGAGTGATATGTATCATGAGAATACAATGTTGCAAACTGAAAATGACAAGTAAGCTCGGCTATATTTATGTTCTTCGCGTGTTAAGCCCTGGGCAAACTAGGAAACATTGTTGTGGAAACATTTGTGATTCTCGATGTTTCCTCAAATGTTTCCCTGTTTGCCCACCCGTGGAAACATTGTTGCGGAAACAAAATTTTGTTCCCGAGAAGCAAAAATGTTTCCTTGCGAATTCAGAAACATTTGATGTTTCCCAGTGTTTCTCACTAATGTTTCCTAGTGTTTGCCCACTCTTGGAAACATGACGAAACATTGATAGGAAACAATGTTTCCGCAACAATGTTTGGAACCTAGTTTGCCCAGGGCTTTAGCCGCGCAGACAAAAAGAATAGAAAGGAACCGACCACCATCTTTGTCTTCTCTTTGGAGCTCGCTTGTCATGACGAGTAAATTTCTCTTTCCTCAGGTTACGCATGCGTATCAAAGCTCTGAACCACACAGTGGATGAGCAGAAGAAACGAATCACGGAATATGTGGCGAATAAAAGCATCGCTCTGTTGAATGGAGGTTGGTAGAATTTGCCCGATTTCTAATGTAACTTAATTTTTTTGTTAAAATGATCCCTGATTTTAGAAGAACTGGCGTCGGAGATATAGTGGAAAAACACGGTTTGATAGACTTTTTTAAGATATTTGCTGTGTTGGTGTAATGTACTCAGGTGAATAAGATGCTTGTGTGATGTTACTCTGAGTGTATATCCACACCGGGCAGGCTAGAAAAATATGCCTGGCCACTGTGTGGGAATCGAACCTACGACCTTTGGCCAGGCATATTTTTCAAGCCTGCCCGGTGTGGATATACACTCAGAGTAACATCGCACAAGCAGACTTTTTTAAGTTCTTTGTAAGTTTGCATGGCAATAAAACATATAATATTTTGTTTGTGGAAACACCACGTAAATTTAATACTGCAATAATACATTTATTATTTGCAGTAATAAATTTACGTGGTGTTTCCACAAACAAAATATTATATTTTTATAGACTTTTTTAATTTAAAAAACTTGTCTTTTTTAGAACTGAAAGGTGGTGTAGAAGAACTGATCGCAGGATATGTTGAAGAAATCGAAGAACTAAGGTAGACTTTCTTCTTAATCAAAGGGAGGCTTTATATCTTGTTTTTACCAGTCAGCCAGCGAAGATTGCCAAAAATAAGAAAGCTCTGGATTGTGATGTATGATTCGCTGTACGAGGAACTCGTGAGTTCTTTGAGAACATCCCCTTTTTCAGGAGTGCAACTGGCCAACGCACATTTTAGTACCGTGCTGTCTCCTTATGGAACGAACTTCCAGAGAACATTAAATGTAGTTCACCAGTTAACATTTTTAAACATAAATTACGTAGATATCTTTTAGGAAATTAAACATAGTAGCATTTGGCCTTTAACAATTTTTAAATCCATACCAGTAATTAGTTAGAATTTCATGCTAGTATAACTTCTAAATTTTTGTAAATGTTAATTGGCTCCGAAAAGGAGAGTTCAATAAATTATTGTATTGTATTGTATTGTATTGTATTGTATTGATAGGGATATAACTACCAGAACAAAACTTGCATCGTGTAGCTTAACAGTGTTGTATTTATTTCTCGTGTAGGAGCCGACTATTGGAAAGCGAAGCGATGTCGGCGGTTGTTGCACGTCGTTCAGTCGCGACAGCGTTACGTATGGGTCGAGCAAGTATCGAGGCACCCACGGAATCCATTCTAGAACTGGCTAAACAAGATCTCAACACTAAGATGCGGAAGGCTAAGGTGGGGTACAAGTACGGGTTTCGTCAGAAATCGTCTAACTACTCTTATAACTCGTCTGACTATTCTTATTCGTATAATCTTAATCTCGAGAGTTCATTTTCACTTCGTGGGAAAAATCCCGCGTGGGATACACGCAGCACACGTGGGTCTCGCGTGGGGTATCCTCGTAACACATCCGGCGTGGAACGTTCCTCGAGTAACACGCGTGAATCTCGTGTCGCGCGTGATAAGTTTAAACCCGCGAACAGGTTCACAAAAGAGCCAGCGCCTAGATGTCACGGAAAGGCGTTCAAACGCGAGAGCCTGCTTAGAAGAGGGATAAATAAGGTGAAGAAGAGTCTTTTTGGGTTAAAAGTGGTTCCCAGGAGGCCCGCAGCTAAACAGAGTCCAGTAAAAAAATGCCTGAATGCCTATGGCTTTGATACTCGGACACAACCTGGGACAAAATCAACTAATATGGCTACTGCATCACGAGCTGACGGCGCCCGCAATAGCACGTCAAAGATTCCAGTTCCAGTCAGCAGTCTTTCACGACGGAAACATCTACGAAGTTTCTTGATGGATAATACTGGATCTGCAAGTACATCAATGACAAGTCGTGGTCATCGTGGTACAGTAAGGGGTAGGAGTTCGAGTGGCCACGAAGACAGACGAAATTTATCAAGGCAAGAAGTGCAATCGGGAGAGTACTTTTATCGTAGATACCCAAATCCCCGAGAGGTATCTACTTCGTATAGCAATGAGGAAACTACGAAATATCCCAGTCGAAACAGCACTGGTATGTTAGAGGCTCATCCGAGGGGAACAGGGAATTTGTTGACACGTGACTGTCACGAGGTCCTGACTGGGGAAGGCCGCGGTGATTCCTGGGACGGTTTTGGCGGGCAACGTGTAATATTTCCAGAGTCGTCAAGTCGGAAGCAAGAAAATGTTCGACCAAGTTTGATTGGCTTAAATCCGAAGACGTCACGTGAAGTGGTCGTGGTTGCTGCCGATTCCCCAATGAGCTCGCATGGCTCATGGGAAGGTTACGAATGTGAGAACGAAGCGACTTCGGAGCATGTTCGACCGGCGTCGGGAAGTGTCCGGCCGTTGTCGGACAATTCTCGCCCTGTATCGGAAAATCGTCGGCCGTTGTCGGAAAATCTTACGCGGACTTTGGGGAATGTTCTGCCAATATCGGAATCTGTTCGGCCGATGTCGTTGGAACTCGACGAAAAAGTTATGAGTCTTCCAGAAAGACGTTCTCGCCTTGAGAAAGATTTAGACGCACTCATGGCAAGTATGGAGAAAGTGCTTGGGAGTCCTGTGTCTCCTGTCCGTGATTTTAACCCGGGCACTTGGCCGAGGAAGATGTCACGTGAGAAATCGAAAGGTATGTCGGTAAGGTTTGGTAGGCCTGTATTCGAAGCGGTTATTTAGAAGATTTACTCGCTTGAAAAGATGAGGAAATCAACTTGAGTTTTTGACTGCAAGAGAACTTTTACAAGAGAGCAAAACATTGAAACGAAATATTATAAGATAAATATTATTTAATAGACAAATAGTTTAAGTCTTATTTATTTATTTATTTTATTTATTTATTATTATAATATAGTATTAAATGCTACATAATGTGTGAAGAAGTAAATATGTTAAAATAAAAGAAGACATCTGTTACTCATAAGTGTGTTACCTAAATATCTAAATTCTTCACTTATTTTCAAAGCATTATTGGGGCTTTATTGGCGATCACGTATAAATTACTGTCCTTCAATGGGTGACGCTTGTTGCCAATGCCATGAACGAGGCTGCGCTGTCGTCAGGGCCTGGCTTCTGTTCTTATTTCGGACACAGGATATTCACGTTAAAGTCGATCAACGCCCTCCTGAAAGGCATGGGCTTTCTCCAAGCACGTTGGGTTAGCAGACATGGAAGCAAATTCACGATCTCGTTATTAAATAAATTATTTAAATAAAATAAAGAAATTTATAACATTAGTTCGATTCTCTTCGCCAGGGACGCTCGTTTTGAGATGTATCAAACACCCAAGCAGAAATCGAGAAAAGCGATGTCCTCTGCATTTCATGTATGGATGGATTACAGCTCACCGTTTGCAGCCAACAAGAACGCAGAGAAAAAGACCGCTTTATGCATTTCCCATTCCAGATGGATTTGTCCTTGACGTTGGCGTTAACAGTCGCCATAATACGAAATGATCATGTCATCGTTGATAATCTAAATGCTCTTGGTGGTCGACTGTTACCTTACTATCTCATAAACTGAACTGGCTGGATTGCATCTTCGATTCCAGCCATATGCAGTTCTGTGTGACGATAATTTACGCCATTAATAAAGGACAAACCTATACTGAAACCACCTCACTGGAAATAGCTCGTGATAAATATAATTCGTTACCCACCTTGCCATAGGAAATTCAATACCAATCTTTCTACTCGTCGAAGTTGGGGACAAATAACTCTTTTTAAAAATTGTCAGCAATACTTTCTCCATGTAGTAATGTTTGCCTCTTCGACGATTCTTTTCAGCGTCCATAGAAATCGCCATTTACGTTCAAAATAGAGAGTGTAGCAATCACATCATATTTCACTGTCTTACTTACTACCAAGAGATAAACGACAGCAACTCTCGCGGTGGAAAATGACGCGCAAATGGCGAAAATTGTACTTGTACTCATCAAATCTAAAACCCTCTAGGCTGTATTGTCAAAGAACAACAGACAACGAGAAAAATAAACTTTATTCACAAATTATGATCATCTATTTCTGCTCTGGCAACATCTCGCTTCAGCACTGCCTGATATCTCATCTTTCTTGATCGACAAATTGCAACGTTGCTCACCCGTTATTTCTTTCCCTAGAAAATCATAATTTTATTGATAAATTAGAATTTTACTAATACAGTCACTGACCGAATCAATATTTTTGTTCAGGAATTAAAGAATATGGTTGTCGAGGACAAGAAACCAGAGGTACTTGATCTTGGCAGCGACGGCGAGAAGGAAAGTGGGGACGAGAGTCAATCAGAGGAAGACGATGACGTAAGAATATATAATTAGATACTAGAATAATTTATGAAACACCCCTCTCCCTGGGAATTTGTGGATTTACCGGAGAAGCACAGCGTTTGATTTTTTCTGAAATATAACACTAGATTACTACGAAGAACAGTTTAGAACTGATAGAGCTATCCAGTATAAATAAAGTTAGTTTAGTTTAGGTTTCCTCCTGTAGTAATACTGAATTAATAAGAGATTATTCTTACTGAACCTCTAGGAAGAACAGTTCAGAACTGATAGAACTATCCAGTATAAATAAAGTTAATTTAGTTTAGGTTTCCTCCTGTAGTAACACTGGAATAATAAGAGATGATTCTTACTCACCTCTAGGAAGAACAGTTCAGAACTGATAGAACTATCCAGTATAAATAAAGTTAGTTTAGTTTAGGTTTCCTCCTGTAGTAACACTGGATCAATAAGAGATGATCCTTACTGGACCTCTAGGGCGAACAGCTTAGAACTGAGAGAGCTATCCAATATAAATAAAGTTAGTTTAGTATAGGTTTCCCCCTGTAGTAACACTGGATCAATAAGAGATGATCCTTACTGAACCTCTAGGAAGAACAGTTTAGAACTGATGTAACTATCCAGTATAAATAAAGTTAGGTTCAAGGATAGCTCTTACTCTTCTTCTAGAAAGAAAATATTAGATTTAGAAAACATTTAGTTTCTTTGTTTATTTTATTAATTGCAACGAATGTTCCTTCAGACTCAAAACGAGATGCAACTGAAGGGCCTTACTCGAGATCTGGACGAGCTCAAGAAAACCAAAGTGAAACTGATGCGACAGATGAAAGAAGAGATTGCTAAGAACAAGAAACGCGAGGCGGAACGAGAAAGACAGATCTCTCAGCTCAAGAAAGAAAGTAGAAAACGTGAAATACAAATCAAGAATATGGAGTCGGAGAAACGACAACGAGAGCTTGTGTTAAAACGAAAACAGGAAGAGGTAACAATCATTTGTAATAATTCAAAGAAGTTTTTACTATTTTATTTCTTGTTGAAAAAAGCTAATATACTAAGTGTTTCTACGGTGCCCAAGGCTCGAAATAGCGGGCTGCCAATGGCCAAAAGCAGGCCAGATTTTAGAAATGGCAGGCAAAAACAAATTTGAACTGCCAAAGTAAAAAAACTGGCAGGTGAAATTCTATAGATATATAGTTTCATTTGCTTACCACAACTCATATATACTAGATCATTCAGTTGACTAAATACGTTTATATTTGAAATGTAAATCCAAGTTTACTGTAGTAAAATAGACAAGTTTAAAAACAATAAAATTACATATCATGAAAACATTGATTTTTACAATATGACTCATATGGGACATCGCTATTTTGGCAGTTCAATGAATAAAAATGGCAGGCTAAAACTTATTTCACCTGCCAAAAAAATTTAGACTGGCAGGCCGTATTTTTTCTCTATTTCGAGCCCTGACTCCTGCCATATTCGATACTTTTCTTAATGTATTTAGACTACGTTTACGCCTTAACATATAGTTTTCCTTAGCGACGTGAAGAAACACCTATGTCAACACCTGCCAGAGGCTCCCTTAAAAAGCCTTCGACCATTGAACTATAAATAAACTGGAAGGCTAACTCAGGGGGGGAAATTGAAGCCAGTGCATTTTAGTTTTTCTGAGTTATGAGCAGAAATACTCAACACTGAACGTTGGGCTATATATCAAATTGAAGCTATTGAAAAACCCTATTTGGTGTAGAAATTTCAAGACTTTAGCTAAAAGGGAAATATTGAAAAACTACAAACATAATTACCGATAATTTGCCGTTTTGCAGTTGTTTTTGTATTTTTTAAATATTTTTCTTTTCGCTGAAGTCTTGAAATTTCCACACCGAATAGCAATTTTCAGTAGCTTCAATTTGATATATAGCCCGACGTTTGGGGTCAAGTATTTCTGCTCATAACTCAGAAAAACTATTTTGGCTTCATCAAATCATAGGCCTTCATCATAGCAGTTAGCCTTCCAGTTTATTTATAGTTCAATGCCTTCGACTGGATCAGGTTGAGCTGTGTCCTTCTTAATTCAGCTTAGCTCTCAGCTGCAAGTAGAGATGATAGCGCACTTTCTCTAAATTTAAGTTCATTCTTCACGTGCCATTTTTTCAGGTGAAGCAACTTCGTCAACAGCACAAACCAATCTCAGGCAAACTTGGCAAACAACGAAAATTGAATCCCGCACCCCCCGGACCAGAACCTCCTCTCTCGTCAACTGCAACCATGGTTGTCTCAGGGACGGGGGTCGAGGTTCAACCTGTGGATAGGTCAGAACGTGTGAATGGTCTCGCGAGAAACGCTCGTGGTTCGAGTATTCCCACGACCTCACGAGTGACCGGTAAAGCAGCGCCTAGTCCTCGGAAAAGACTCTCGGCGTCTCAGGTTAAAAAGACTTGGGAAACAATTGAAAAAAGGGTTTGTATTTATTCTGTTAAAAAAGTGAAGCCAAACTATACTAACTTTATTTATACTGGATAGCTCGATCAGTTCTGAACTGTTCTTCCTAGAGGTCCAGTAAGGATCATCTCTTATTGATCCAGTGTTACTACAGGAGGAAACCTAAACTAAACTAACTTTATATATACTGGATAGCTTTATCAGTTCTAAACTGTTCTCCCCAGAGGTCCAGTAAAAGTCGTCTCTTATTGATCCAGTGTTACCACAGGATATCTAGATTTAAACCCAGTATTAATAATTTGATCTGAGATTATATTTAATCCTAGATTGAACGTATCGTGGCTCACGATCAAACTGTGTCTACAATGGAATCTGATATGGATCGCTGGATCAAAGATCGAGATATGCTGAGCAAGAAAATTGAGAAATGTAACAACAAGTTAGCTGAGACGACTGATGTAAGTTCTTCTTATAGGGCTTTTTCGTTCAATCTACTTGACTGTTATGCGTGGGAGGGATAATTGTCCTGTGAATGGATTCCTTAAAGAGTTTAGTCTAAAATGCTTTAACATTTTATCTAGCGCCCTACAGAGATTGTTGCATACTTGTTTTATTGCTGTGACAATAGACAACTTGCATGTTAGACTAATTTTTGATTTAGGCAAAAAAAAGTAAATTCCCGTAAAGAACTTATTAAAATAAGTAAAATTGCAAAATTTGGTTACGAAATGTTGTAAAATACAGAAAATATAGCCTTGCGAAGTTTGTATATTTTCAGTATGTTTGTATTACGTGCGGAAATTGTTACCATTTTTGAGCCGAAAATGGTAACAATTTCCGCACGTAATACAAATATACTGAAAATGTGCAAACTTCGTAAGGCTATATTTTTTGTATTATACAACATTTCGCAACCAAATTTTGCAATTTTACTAATTTCATTATGTTCTTTTTAACTGTTGTGTTTGATTCCCTTCTCTTTACTTAGATTAAAATTTAGTCCAACATGCAAGTTGTCCATTTCACAGTTCTTCATGTCATTCTGTCACTCGTTGTTTTGATTTATGTCAGCGTTCATGCAGTGCGGCTATTAGGGAGGTTTAGCAAAGACGACGTGAGAATGGCGTGGCACATCCATAAATGGGCACATCATGCCATTTTCATGTCGTCTTTGACGTCGGTGTCGTCTTTGCTAAAACCTTCCCTATTATATTTTCCAGGATGACAACGCTACACGAGATCTCAATGAACAACTGGATGCACTCAAAGCACACCTGGATTATGTTCAAGACAATATCACTGAGGCGCAAACTGAGATTGTAGATCTTGAGGTGTGTAGAAATATAGTCGAGGTTTGTACTTATTTATTGGTTGGAGAGCTGCACCGCAATCGCAGCTTCGATTCCTGAGGACCTATAGTTGTATTTTTCGCAACTGCTCCTGGTACTGTTCGAATAAATGTATAAAAGTCACACTCGTAATTTCCATCTACAAAACCACTCATCTCTTATTTCTTCATCTCTTATTTCTTCATCTTTCAGGAAGGAGGGGAAACAACGGAAATAACAGAAGTGATAACGAAATGTTCAACTCACGAAGCGAGACTGTTGATGGAACATTTCTTGAATAAAACCATTGAATTGGTAGAAAACTAACTTTCTGAATAGTTCTATCATATCTAATAGACTGTTCTAGATGTACAGTAAGTTCCAGTGTTACTACAGGAGAAAACCAGAGTTTTGAAAGAAAACCTGTGATGTTTGGTAGAGTCAAACTGGAAGCACTCTTCTCACATGTGACTGAGGTGAAATTATAATGAGACAACTGCATATTGCAGAAATCAAACCTCAGAGATGAAAGAGACATGCACTGACCACTGTGTCACAAACGATGGTTTCTTTTTCCTCAGAGCAAAGAAACCGTTTCAAAAGATGCGACTGTAAAGGAACTGGAAACGAAACTCGAAGCGTTACGTCAGCATAGTGAATTACAGCAGGACCTAGTTATGAATCTACTTCAATATCCCAGCAAAGATGATCCGGCAATCACCTCAAAAGACCCTAAAGATCCCGAGGTAATGGTGAATGGAGGTCCCGAGATGAAGAATGGGATGATAGCAGATGATATTGTACCATTTATGGTAATTATCAGTTCATTTATATTACAAGTGTTGTCTAGTTATCCCCCGTTTGAAGGCGAGACTGGGCGAACGCATTGAATAACTTTGTAAGTAAGTTTTGACGATGTATTCTACAATCATGAAAACGAGATTGATTTTATATATATTAAGTTGGCATTAAGTTTCAGCCATAAGGTTTTGACAAACTTTAAAGAACTGGAATATATTGGCAGCCGAATTCACAACCTTAGTATTTCTCCAATAATGTTATTTCTCAAAAAATATTACTAATTTAACATTTTAACTTTACTATTCAACAGAGCAAGTCTGAATTTATGGCTTTCATGAAAGATGACATTCTACCCAACACGTAAGTTGTCGTACTTTTTGTTTTATTATACGTAACTTATTTTTCAACAAATGAGACGACACTACGTTAGCAACTTTTTTGTAATTTTGTATTTCTTGTAGAAATAAAATCAACACCCAGGCTTCAGCGAAAGAAAAGGTGACAATGTTTATTTATACCAAATATGTCTCTCGAAATCTCAATCCTTAATCTGTCATTTATTTATTTCTTCTTTCGCCAGGCGCGACGCCGTAGTTCAACTCAGAACGAACTACTCTATCCAGTGAGGCATGAGAAACGCGAATCAACTCTATCCTCCATCCTTGATGTACCTGAAGAACCCGCATTACCCCTCATTAACACGCAAGTAACTCCTAGTGATCCTATAAACACAACTGATCTCAAACAAAAACTACTTCAACTTGAGCGCGCTAGGAAAGCTATGGATAAAAATGATAGTACCCTAATGCCCCCTCCTGTAGTAAAGGTTCCCGTCTCGACCCCAAGTATCCCTCCAGATCGGCCCCAGTCTGTTGCGGGGTCAACGTCGAGTTCGTTCGTACGAGGATCGTTCAAGTCGAAATCCGCGCGAAATTTTGCTCGTCCCAAGGCCCCACTCTCCAGCGTTAGTGTGACGTCATCAACTGAGTCTCGGTCCCAGCCTACTTCTCCCACGCCGCAGCGGAAATCGTTTGACGAGAAGGGAAAGCTGGGCAATGGGCAGTAAGTACTTTGTTATTATTAAAATTCAATAACGCAGGGATCTATTTGAAACTTGGGACGGTCCATGTCTAGTTTATATTAACGTTGGAAAGTGTAAGGATGGTTTGGAACACATTGATCGTGTGTTGTAATTTTGTGTTGTAGTTTTGTTAAAGTTTGTAACCCTGTCTGTATTGTTTCACAATGTCAATGTAATGTGTAGGTAGGATTTAATTTGGGACTCCTCAGTCCTGTTGTCTGAACCTTCAATCGGGTTTTGTTGATTGTAAAGTTTATAAATAAATAAATTAAAATAATTTAAATTAAACCATTAGATGTAAATTAACTAAATTTATAGTAATGATCTAACTGACATTAAATTACATTTTATTTAATATTAAAAGATATAAGAGATCACCGTTAGCCAGACGAGGACCAAGGTGAGCTTGAATTAAAATTAAATTAATTAAATCATTGATTTAAATAGCTAAATAAAATATCTATTATAAAACATAAAATAAGTAAAATTAATCATAACTAAAATTACTAAGTCAGCCATATAATTACTAAAGTATGCCATAGCATAAGCTGATATCGTCGTAATTGAAATACTAAATGATTTTTTAAACTGTTAAAAAACGTCGTTGAAGATGAAATATTTTCGATGCGTGTTCGAGGCTTTGCACTGACGTTTCTAACTTCTAATTGTGTCTGCAGAAACGATGCTGAAGATGTGTTTTCAAGACTGACAAGTACCTTACCACAAGATGCCAACCCAAACGCGTATGTTTCACTTCTGTTTTTCACATCTCAAACATGATGCTCCATTTCCACATTCCGGGTATATTCCAGTTTCCACCCACAGGGAATGTTGACAGGGTGGGTTGGGATTAACCCCCTAACTGACCCTTCCACCGTAGCTGTACTCCGTAATCAGACATGAGTCATAAGGTGGCTGCAGCCGGAGGCGCTCTTAGAAAGCCTTCGACTCAATCAGGTTGAGCTGCGTCCTTCGTAATTCAGCCTAGCTCTCAGCTGCAAGCAAGGTTGATTAGCACATAAGTACACCTTCACTGACTGACTTAATTAATGTTCACTAATTAATTAATTAATTTTTAGAGGTCGTATGTTACCGGTGAAGCCACCGATGGGGAAGCCTGGTGCTCTAGTGTGTGTCTACGCCTCTACTGGGCATAACAGCGCTGTATTGTCTCTGTGTGTGAGTCAAAGTACCATGTTTTCTGGATCGAAAGGTTAGTCATTGTGTATTCAGAAATTGGTGTTTTTTTATTGTGCGATTCCGTAATGTATCGTTGGTGCAAATCCTACCATGATCAAGCAGTTTCTAATGGTGAATACTGGTTTGGAGTGAACATTACTGGAAGTACGTACCGTGCAATAGCTGGGTTTCACTAATGAAAAGTCAATCAACGGTAACCTTATTAACGAACATCCCAATAGTCATTATTATCAAAAAGCAAACGCTTTTACTAAACCTCCCTCGACGTTCGGATACATTTAATCACTAATCGATGTAGTTGAATTTTCTTGAAGTGTGAATATTTCTGAAATTGAACACCATCTGCTGCCCTGGAACGCTGACTCAAACCCACCAATGTATAATATTCCTGAACACAAACTCATCTTAGTTCTTTACCCTGATATTTAGATCGTACAGTGAAGATTTGGGATCTGAACACGGGCGAGGAAACGATGTCTTTAGGACAACACAAACGCGATGTAACATCGCTCAAATATTGCGCTGAAACCAAACGATTGTTCAGCGTATCACAGAATATTATCAAGGTGAGACTTCACATGAGAGTATTATACGACTAAACTAACGTAATAATAATAATGATTTATTGATCATTGATGCCATATTCACAGTTATTGTGGCTCTTCATTGCATGAAAGGTTCCTTTTATCAGCGGTATTTGAAGTCGAGGAGCAGAACTTGATCGCAAACATTCTCTTTGTGTTGCGAAGTCTAATTTGTATGCAGGCCACTGCTCAAAATATATTGCCTTAAAAGTCAATTTCAATATTTGATAGTCACGGCGTTGTTCGACAGGTATCCCAACCTTATTATATCACAACCTTATTATATAACTTTATACTGGATAGTTGTATCAGTTCTAAAAGTGAAATTATTCTCAGACAACTGAAAATTGAATGAACCCAGGCACGGAGGTAAAAGTCACATGCACTGTGATATGCACCAACATCACAAAGGAGATAGGGTAAAGGGTAAATTTTGTTTCTTGCAGATTTGGGACATTCGCTCACCTCCAGCAAAATGTATAAAGAGCATTACATCTGGTGGGGTGACTAGTGACTCTAGTATCAACGATCTTACTGTCAATCATTCAGGCACCCATGTCTTCGCTGCCAATGGTAATACTGTTAAAATATGGGACCTAAATAAGTAAGTATTCATTGGTTTCATCAAACATTACAGGGCAATGATGGTCAACGTTAGAAATGCTGACACTTTTAGGAGCAGACACTACCACCTGTCAATTTTATTTATTTGCCACCAAATACAAGACTACTACATATAATGAAAAGAATGAACATTTCTTTCTCACTCTGATAACTGCAGGTTGACCATCATCGGCTGCACATTAGTGCTTAGTGAAATACATTTTTCAAACACATTTTTCATCTTGTGTTATCAAATGATAGGAAAGCTAGGCGGACATGCTGGTCATGTCATGGCACTTCTTTTACTGGGTATAGAAGAAATGAAGAACCTTATGAGTTATCCTTATACATCTCAAGATTACTACATATAATGAGCAGAATGAACATTATTTTTCTACTCTGATAACTGTAGGTTGACCACCATCGGCTGCACATTAGTGCTTAGTGAAATACATTTTTCAAACACATTTTTCATCTTGTAGTTATCAAATGATAGGAAAGCTAGGCGGACATGCTGGTCATGTCATGGCACTTCTTTTACTGGGTATAGAAGAACCTTATTTGATGTTGACTGGTTCCAGAGATCATTACATTAAGGTAGGATGGTGATGGTGATGAGGATGGTGGTGATGGTGGTGGCGATGATATCACTCATACAGGCTTTCTTGCCATCCTACTTTTCCTACTTTTTCCTACTTTTCTTCAACTTTCCTACTTTTCCTATTTTTTATTAAAAATTACTTGATTTTCCTACTTTTTCCTACTTTTTCTTATAAAATTCTACTTTTTTAAGACCGCTCGAGGAATGGGTATGTTACAGCTCTCGTAATTAGATCTATAGGACTCGTAATTTTTATTCTCTATTTGTGTCCCAGATGACAAGATTTCAGTACATTTTCCGAGTATAAAATTCCATAGCATCTCTAGAATCATAATCAATAAATTAATGAAGATCTAGAGATTCCATTCATAGATGAATGAGTACAAAAAATCTAGTGAGCACCAAAAATTCACACAACTTCCCCATCAGATATCTAATAGTCCACCCCTTACCCCGTATATCCTAGGTGTCCCATTTTGTATATTTTTGTGTTATTTGCATCTCAAAAACTCCTACTTTTCTACACATTTTCCTACTTTATTCCTACTTTTCTTAAAATTCTAGTCCTACTTTTCTCCTACTTTTCTACCAAGGATGCCAGAAAGCCTGCTCATATCAGTCTAATCAATATTTTCTTTTTAAGATGTTTGAACTAAGTGGGACACTATCAGGAATACAGGTATTAAAGTTTCCAGCTTATTAAGTACTAGCCTCTCTAATAAATATTAACAGTTAATTCAAAGAGTAATATGAATTTGTAGATCTGCAATCCTGTGATCGTACATAAAATTGAATTAACCTCCTAAATAAACATTAAATAATATAATAAAATAAAATGAAATAACTAATTCTGTTCAGAAAATGGGCAGTCCTCGACCTAAAAGTCCTTTTAAAAAGCTGACGAGAAAATCGGTAGTCGTAAAGGTATTAAAACTAAAATAAACTAATATAAAATTAACTATTCTTACTAACATATTAAACACAGTAGTAACTTTTTCTTAGAATTGTCAAATAACATTTTTACACATGTTCCAAAGAATTTAACATAATAATTGTGCAGCACCAAGTTATTGCAGAAGCAACAACGCCCTCACCTTTTTGTCAATAAGAAATATTTCATTTAGACTCCCATCCAAACATTCGAACCTCCTCACTACGATGGTGTCCAGTCCCTCGCATTGCAAGGCAATAATTTATTCAGTGGGTCACGTGACAACAGTATAAAGAAGTGGAACCTCTCGACACAACAGGTTCAACAGGTTTGTAAACAAGACTAACAAGTTTTCTTTCAACTCTATCAATTCTAAACTGTTCTCCTTAGAGGTCCAGTAAGGATCATCTTTTATTGATCCAGTGTTACTACACGAGTAACATCCCAACGTTAAATTCAAGCAGACATTATCCAGTTGTATTGAAAGCTCAGTGGTGTATATGTTTTGTAGAACCTGATATCCGCGCACAAGGACTGGGTCTGTTCATTGGATTTCCTCTGCTCCCACAATGTTCTGCTCAGCGGTTGTCGCGGTGGAGTCTTGAAACTCTGGGAACCAGAGACATGTCAAGAAATTGGTGAGCATGCTTAGAATTACCAAAGATTTGAATAAAACTTTGATATTTGCCATATCAATCCCATGTAACCATCCTACGAGTATTTTTTTTTTTCTCCAAAGGTGAAATCAAAGCACATCGACATCCCATCAACGCCATTGCCACAAATTCATCTTTCGTATTCACCGCTTCAAGGTAAAATCATTACTAAATTAGGATTTAAAGGTCCAGTAAGGAACAAATCTAAACTAAACTAACTTTATATATTTATACTGGATAGCTCTATCAGTTCTAAACTGTTCTTTCTAGAGGTCCAGTAAGGATCATCTCTTATTGATCCAGTGTTACTACAGTAGCAAACTTAAACTGACTTTATTTATACTGGATAGCTCTATCAGTTCTGAACTGTTCTTTCTAGAGGTCCATTAAGAATCATCTGTTATTGATCCAGTGTTACTACAGTAGTAAACTTAAACTAACTTTATTTATACTGGATAGCTCTATCAGTTCTAAACTGTTCTTTCTAGAGGTCAAGTCAAGTAATGGCCATTTCTGATCCAGTGTTACTACAGCAGTCAAGTAGTCATGGACTTAGGAAAAATTAGAGCCAGACTAAACCATATTGTAGGAATGAAACGCCAGTCACAAATTTTTGTCTTTTCTAGCGATCGTCTCATACGTGTATGGAAAGCGACAGAAATTCTGGACGAACAGTTGAGTCAAATGAACCACAATCGAAGATAACACCATTATAATACCAAGTATTTCAAATCAATATTTATATCGTACATATATAGTTTTCTAGAGAAGAGTTTATATTCACATTTTTCGTATCGCGCCATTTATCCGCAGCTTGTATCATATAGATGTATGTGTGTAAATTCAATTCGTGAATGCAGAAAAGACAAAATGACTTGATTAATTAATCAGATAAATTCATATTTGTATTATTTATATTTGTTTGTATATAAAAAGGGGAAAAGATTATTTTGATAAAAGTTTGACGTGTTTATTTCATTATCAAGGTAGAAGTCAGTGCAGTTTAAGGTAGGTGAGAGTAATAGAGCTGTAGCTTATGTAGGCTTTAAATAACTTATTTAAACTGGATAACGCATTGAGTTCTAAACTGTTCTTCCTAGAGGTCCAGTAAGGATCATCTCTTATTGATCCAGTGTTACTAAAGGAGGAAATCTAAACTAAACTAACTTTATTTATACTGGATAGCTCTATCAGTTCTAAACTGTTCTTCCTAGAGGTCCAGTAACAATCATCTCTTATTGATCCAGTGTTATTACAGGAGGAAACCTAAACTAAACTAACTTTATTTATACTGGATAGCTCTATCAGTTCTAAACTGTTCTTCCTAGAGGTCCAGTAAGGATCATCTCTTATTGATCCAGTGTTACTACAGGAGGAAACCTAAACTAAACTAACTTTATTTATACTGGATAGCTCCATCAGTTCTAAACTGTTCTCCCTAGAGGTCCAGTAAGGATCATCTCTTATTGATCCAGTGTTACTACAGGAGGAAACCTAAACTAACCGTATTGATAACTTTATCAGTTCAGCTTAGAAGTCCAGTAACGACAGGGATAGTCTAAAACAGTGTTGTAGATTTGGTGAATATTTTGTGGATATTCATTTTATTCAAACATTTATTTCTACACACTAAAATTGTAGATATCTATGATATCTATACTTGATAAAAACATTAAAAAAATTTTAAGACTAAAAGTAAACTTTAAAACGTTCCAATGATATCCTAGTTTTACAATTGCAGTTTATATCTACTCGCATATACTTGAACTAGATTTCCATACGTGATAAAATGTTCAAAGTATTTCAACCAGATGCCTCCATCTTGATGAGCTTGTTAACACCATCAATGACGAACTGCACTAACTGTACTTCAGAATAGCCCAATCTGTACTTGTTGGATACATCATAGATCGCTCCAGAAGAATCTGAGTGCTCTCCATACAAGCCCCGCACTTGCAAATGATTGGCGTTTGCCCATTCTTTGAGACCATCCTCTCCCATCTTGGCCTGGAGTTTGGCGAGTTGGATGAGAACCCCACCCCTCAGACCCGTGCCCAGGTTGGTAGGACAACATGTGATCATGCCAAGGTGGTCGGTTTTCTGGAAACCACGGCCGTCAATCTGTTTGATGAGAGTTTCAATGGTGTTGACTGCTTTCACCAGGGTTGTAAAGACTGATCTGGCATCACCACCTGGCAATGTGGAGGAGGTATGGTTACTTTTTCTATGCTTACTGTCTAATTGTTTATTTTCCATTATCACCATCATCAGTACTATCATCCTCATCACCACCATCATTTCCACCATTATCACCATCATCACCACCACCATCATCACAACCATAATCATTACCATCATCACATCTTACCTTGCTGCATGGAAATGACACGGATGTGATCGCCTTCATTCAACCAGACTGCAAAAGTACGGTTTTCGTTGAGATAGATACCTCGGCCATGTGGCCACCAGCGATGGTACCCGCTGTCCGCCTGCATCTTGTCATTCCCTTTGAAGAGCAAGTGTTCACGAACCAACTGTTGGCGTTCTTCTTCGGTGATCTTGACCAAAGAGTAGTAGCGGCCTTTCAAGTCTCCTTCCAATTTCTCGAAGACTTTGAGCATCAAGGATTCAACTGCTAGCTTCTCGTCTTTGCTGTTTTGACCTAAGAAGCGTTGGAATTGGTTGAGGTGATTCATTGTGGTAGTGGTGATGGTGATTGTGGTAATGATGAATAATGGTCATGATGGTGAGAAATCACCAGTACAAAACTACCATACCTGGTGCCAGATTAAAACCAGTAATATTCCTCGCCACTCTAATCCTTGTTGAGATAATCTTCCCTGGCTCGTCAATATTGCCTTTCAAATTATCCACGTTCATGTCAGTGACATGTTTGTCAGTCGGCTTGAAACCACGATGGTACTCTTCAATCACTGGGTCGAAGAACTCTGCAAACACTGCATAGGAATCCGTGTCCCTAAAAATATTTTTAAAAAATATGAATACTTTCTAATGATCTAAGATATCACCATCACCACCATCCATCTTCACTATTATTACCAGCATTGTCACCATTATCACCATCTGATCCATCGCTACCATCATCGTCATCAGCACCATGATCACTACTACCACCATTATCACCACCATCATCATCATACCACCTTACCTACCCTGCATGACAACCCATCAATGACTTGGGTTTATTCTGGACTCCAGTATTCACGGCTCGAGCGATGGTGAATCCAGTGCTAGATTTCTTATCTTTCAGTCTTTCAAACACGTCTTTAGTGAGGTATTTTGCCATGATAGATTTAGCACCACTCAAATCCGGGTACTTATTCTGGGCTAGGACTGGGTCCATTTGGACATTGTCTTGGTCTGCGAGATTGATATCATCGCCCAGTTTCATCGAAGTGTCTTGCACGATTTTTGAATCCTGAACAAAAAGCGCGATAACTTGTTTTTATTCATTATTTTCCGTCCACGGTCTTAGCCTTTTTGGCCCACACGTAAAATTGTTTTTTTTATATCGTTCCGGATGTACGTTGTTAGAATAGTGTATGTGCATTTTACTTTTTCCACGGTGTTCCTGGTAGTTGCCAATGTGTTCGCACTGCTTGTTCCCAGTTGTTGGCAAGTCTGGAAGAAGTTGTTATCATCTTGTAACAAGGTTGATGAGGCCAACAGATTCGCAATAAGTTGTTTGAACAAGTCTGATATATCGTAACAAGTTGATAACAAATTGATGGCAACAAGCTCGTAGCATTTTCTTACGAACAGCCTGTATTAGTCTTGTTGGAACAACTTGTACAAGGTGATAACAACTTGACTTGTCACAACAACTGGGAACAACACATCGTGATACCGGCTTGATAATAACCGCGCATGCACGAACGAACGAACAAAAAACACGCAAAGCAATCCATCAAAACGTTATACCAGGAACACCAGCCTAGTCCCAGTCGTTCCAATCGCGTAAATGCTTGTGCGCGGGCGAGGAAGGTTCTGGGGAAATAGAAAACCGGGACTCCTAAATTTAGGGGTTCCAGTTGTTGTCAGCATGCACTATTGATAAACGTTAAACCAATCACAGCACAGGAAAAATTCTATTTCCCCAGAGCCAATGCCCTCAATTTATCATTGAGTCGCTTTTCTTTGATGTACCGAGGTGATTATTTTTAATAATCACCTTGAATATTAATTACCTGAAAAGATGAAGGTAAACTCAGAAAATCGTCGTTCAGAGGAAACGAAACAAACAAAACTTTGTTGGAAAACCTCGATCAAGATTTAAATATGATAAACACCTCGAAAGTCGGGATTTATGTCAGATAATAGAGAGGTTAAGATACCCCGGTTTCGGTGTATGGGTAGCATGATTTTGGTTAGCAATATTTTCGTCGATGTCTGTACCTTTACTCGTAATTAAGGTGCACATTTTCCCCATTATATCATTGTCTATTGCAAGAAAACAGAAAAAGTATGATCGAATTACAGACATCAGTAAAACAAGATGACACTACTCGTACCCGTACACCGAAACCGGGGTATCTTAACCTCTCTAATGCCCTCGGATGTTGCGCGTCCTCGGGTGATTATCTGACGTAAATCTCTCCTTCTCGGTGTTTATCCTACATCCTATACATATTCGATGTCTACATAACCAAATCTTAAACTGTAGTAAAAATGTGTTCAATTAAAAACATATACAAATTTATGACACTGAACGTTGGTAAAATGTTCAAAACAGTTTTGTCGTATAATCCTAACTGTGTTAATTATATACTCGCAAGTTGTGATCTACACTAGACCATACACAACTACGCTTTCTACTTGAAACGTTTAAGCTGAGGAGATTGCGAATATTTACACAACATGACTGTGTTGTCAAAACATTTTTAGTCGGAGACTTACCATAATTCTCACGCTTTTAGTCTGTAGACAGCCCATTGACCGTATGGTAGCGAAACGTACGCAGCCTATTTCGTTCCGAGAGATTAGAGTAAAACTAATGCTTGCGCCTATGCGCCTGCGCTACCATTGTTTATAGCTGTTGATCATACATTCTTTTGTGAATTATTTGGCTTAACTGCTAACGAGCAGGCTTAACACAAACAAAATTTCTATAACATTTTTTATTTACAAATGCGTGTGTCTGGTAACGATGGTAACCAGGCCTGGGTCACTTTTTTGAAATCAGGGACCATTTAGTGATTTTACTGAAATCTGCTAGGCTCTCGCGCTGAAGTGTTCCGCACAGCACACTCGCGCATAAAACTTATAAAACTTATTTAAATACATCAAAGCAGAGTACGGAGGGAGAGCCTGGGACTAGAATTACGGACCACTGAGTATTTTAATAGAATATAAAAACAACGGTAACTCCAAAAATAAACATTTTAATCGTTCTAGCTTTCGACTAAGATTCAGTCATCAATGACTGGATCTTAGTCGAAACTCGAAAGCTAGAACGATTAAAATGTTTATTTTTGGAGTTACCGTTTTATACACTATTATTAGCTTGTATAGTTCTCAAACTTCTGTTCATTAATTTTGTATTTCTCTTAACAGTTAAAGCATGAAAAGACGCTCGTCCTTTTGCTGTAGTAAGGTAATTTTTCAGTTAGAGTTTAAAAATATTAATAAACTGGACACCATTTGGCCTTTGATCTTTTTCGCGCGTATTGAAATAATAGCTACACGCCTAGTAATTGTCACACACAAAATAAATCTGGTGCAAAAATTTTGAAAATAAAACCCCCTCAACCCACCGCATTAATAAAAAACGAAAGAATTACTTTTATTGTAAGCTTTTAATTAACTAAAACATTTTGTGTTCGGCCACAAAGTCCCCACATTAAAATTTTAAAATCCAATCTTACTTTATTCGAAGCCATATTGATATTGTTCTTGATGTTTTGGAATTTCTGGCGCTAAAAATTCTTTTCCAAATTGACCTGAAATATAAAATTATACAACAGTTTTCTTTAAAGCTGCTTTGTCTCGAGTTGAAAACGTTTGACAGTCCACTTGCGGTTGCTCAGCGCTCAATAAATAAAACAGAAACTAAAATTGATCTTAAATTTGCATTGGACTACATTTATTGACAACTCCAAGTGTGTGCATGGTTTCTAAACCCGTTCAAATTTCGCGTTGTTTGCAGATGTTTTAATATATTTACAAATGGAACAGTTTTATAGTCACATACCTAGTAAAACTACTTGCTAAAAAGCTTACCGATTTGAAGATACCTTTGCAGTTGTTGGAACAGCGATTTACATCAGTGTCTTCGGCTAATAAATTAGTAATCTTAACATCAAAGGAATTCGTGTGTTCAGCTTTAAAAATAACGGGGGGTAAACATTGGACAAAAGTGGGACAAATAAAGGTTTATCTTTATTGTATAGTAATATAAGGTTTCACTAAGCGCTATCGTGTCGCAGATGCAGCTCTAAACATATAAGAACATTTAATTAAAACGAACTTGGATGAGTTGTAATTGGAATCCACCTAATTAGAACAAACTTAGGGGCATTCTAATTGGAGTTCATCTAATTAGAACAAACTTAGGAGTATTCTAATTGGAGTACATTTAATTATAACATACATGGTACATTCTAATAGACAACTTGCATGTTAGACTAATTTTTTATCTAGGGAAAAAATGTACTATTCCCGTAAAGAAAATTGTTACCATTTTTTGAGCCGAAAATAATAATACTTATAATAATATTTCCGCACGTAATACAAACATATACAAAATTTGCAAACTTTGCAAGACCATATTTTCTAAGCTTTTCAACATTTCGAAACCAAATTTTGCAATTTTACTAATTTTATTAGATTATTAAAATTTAGTCTAACATGCAAGTTGTCCATTGGAGTGTACCTAATTGGAACAATTTAGAAGCATTATAGTTACAAAAATTGTTGAAAAATTCTAATTGAACTCAATCTAATTAGAGCATACTTCAAAGAATTCTGATTGGAGTACGTCTATAAATTAGAACAAACGTCAAAGAATTCTAATTGGATTTCATCCAATTACTGGATTTTACGACATAGAGAATTAGGTTTATCTGGAGTGAATAATCCTGATCCCAATTGAGATTTATACCAGACACGAGTTAAACAGGTAAATCCGCCTATCCGGTCAAACGACACATTTAATTACTTTGTAGTTCCTATAGTTATATAGAAACATCAAATCTTTTTCATCTAGTTCAAACCACGGTTTAAACACGTCTATCCTGTCAAAATGGCTTATTTTGCGCACATTTTTTGGCACTAACTAATGAACAGTATTTTTTTTACAGAATGTATTTTTTTAAAATTTATTATATGGTTGTCATGGTAGCCCGTCTGGCTTACAGACAACAAAACGTAATTTATTCAAAATGGCGTCAAAACAAAGAGAGTAGAATTACATAGTGGACAAAAGGGGCTAATCCTTTTTAAACCAGGAAGAATAGTATGGATGGATTCAACACTAAAAGGCCGTTTTCCAAGCCTCAACCAGACTAAAGGCAAACAAGTTTTATCCTTTTATCATGACTGTATGCTTCGAGTTTTTGACAACCATGCTTCAAGGTTTGTAGCAAATTTAAAGTGTTCGCTTTTCTCTCGTAGTATTTGTAAATCTTGATAAATTGTACTGTTGTTTTTTGACGTCGTAAATTGATGACTCATCGCATTTCCTGTTACGTTTTGTAGGAAATCCGAATACTTGGGCAACGTGCTTCTCGTTACAGCCAGGGTGAGTTTTGATTAGATACATAGATATATAGTTGTAAATTATAATGAAAATGTCAATGCTGAATTATTGACTTGAATTTTGAGAGTTTAAATTGTAGGTTTAACCGTTTGGTATTGTAGTGTACGCAATTTGCAGTGATATAGTCTGACTAAGTTGTTCTATCTTTCATCCTATACTTGAGTGTATTCTTGCTAAACGAGACAACTTTATAGAATGCAAAATCTGGGCATTTCAGTATTTTTGCTCTAAAAAGAGGTAGCTATGTGCCTATACAGCAGATGCTGGTCAACCTGCTGTTATCAGAGTGAGAAAATAATGTTCATTCTTTTCATTATATGTAGTAGTCTTGTATTTGGAGACAAATAAATACAATTGAGAGATGCAGTTTAATTTGCTTGCTCCAAAATTCCAGCAGTTGACCACCATTTGCCGCCCTGTAACATTTGCTGAAAAGCAATTCGCCATTCCCCTTATTACGTTTTCGTAGCGCTTTGCATTGTGGTGATAGTGGTATCACTGATAAAGATAGCAGCCTGGAATGCAAATATTGAATGTTTTCACAAATATTTTGCTGTTGGCTATTGCGCACCTGACCCTAGCTTTTTTTAAAAGTTATTGCATGGGTCAGGACAAAAAATAAGCCATCTTGAATATCAGTGATACCATTAGAACCACAATGCAAAGCGCTATGAAAACGTAATAAGGGGAATCGTCAATTGATGAGTTCCCTGCTGTTTGAATGTTTAGAGTGGAGATGTACCGAAGCTGTGCAAGGCATTGGAAAAAGTTGATTTAACTAAGGTATATGTTGATAAAACATTTTCTGTGTTGTATGAGTGTTGGAACCAGAGCAGTTTGTTGTAGAATATAACCTACACTGGTTTGGCCATTTTTAATTATGGTGGTATTATGAATGGTATCTGTTTTTCAGGTCGATTTCAACTTGAAGGAAAGGGATACAGAGAATACTCCTTTGATGGTCGCTGCTGAACATGGCCATGATCAGGTTTGGTAACCATGGGCATCACCATCTCACTTCATCACCACCACCATCATCACCATCAAAATCACCATCAAAATCACCATCACCACAACCATCATCACCACCACTATCATCACCATCACTGTCATCACCATCACTATCATCACCATCACTATCATCACCATCAAAATCATCACCATCAAAATCATCACCATCAAAATCATCATCACCATCATCACCATCAAAATCATCATCAAAATCATCATCACCATCATCATCACCACCACTATCATCACCATCATCACCATCATCATCATCATCATCACCATCATCACCATCATCACCATCATCATCATCACCACTATCATCATCATCATCACCATCATCATCATCATCATCATCATCATCACCACCACTATCATCACCATCATCACCATCATCATCATCATCATCATCATCACCATCATCACCATCATCATCAGTGCTTATGTATAATTCTATTCCACTAGATCATACAAATTTTACTATCGTGTGGTTCTGATGTCACGTTGAGAAATGCTGCTGGTTGGACAGTTCTCGAGAATGCTCCTGAAAGAATCGCAGAATTTATTCTAGGTATATATCATTATACAATTACTTTATGGTTTCCGTGTTTGGATGGCCTGATCCAAACACGCGGGAATGTTGCGAGAGTTAAGAAAAGCGCGCGAAACACGAGCCGAAGGTGAGTGATTTTGCGCGCTTTTCTTAACTCGAGCAACATTCCCAAGTGTTTGGATCAGGCCATCCAAACAGGGAAACCATAAAGTAATTGTTTTATAAAATAACAACAACACGATAGTCTTCCGTGTTTGGATGGCCTGATCCAAACACGGGTTTCGACCAATCAGAGCACGCGTTATATACATGTTATTTTATAAACATTTTTACCAGCTAGTTTGAGGAACTTAAAAGATTGTTGCTAGCCCTAATTTTTCTTTTTTTCTTTTGTAGATTCTGTAAACAGACCAGGTAATGATGTTTACAAAATGATTTCATTAATGTGTTGTGCTTTTAGGTACCATATTGCTGTATATTTCTATCATTCTAATCATTCCTGCAATTATTATTTTGTACAGGTGCAGGACAACCACTCCTCTGTCAAGCAGCATGGCAAGGAAATGCTACTGTAGTGAAGAAACTGCTGGTAAACAATATAATAGTTAAAGAATCATTAATCCAGTTAAGATTCACTGAAGTACAGTATTATCCCATTGAGTGACAGCACTCTCCCCCTGACAAGTAAAATCATCTGGTGTTAGACAGAGTAAAATAATAAAGTAGAGTGCATCTGGGTGCATTGCCACCTAAAGGGTCAACAGGGTGCAATGGGCAGATAGTCTGATTAACCTATTGAGTAAAATCGTCTGGTGTTAGAGTAAAATAATAAAGTAGGGCACATCTGGGCGCATTGCCACTTAAAGGGTTAAGTGTAGCACTTTTCAAGATAAGATCTTGGTGTTTGATACTGTTTTTTCTCTCTGTTTGTAGCATCTGAACCCAAACTTGAATGTGAACAACACAAATTCTGAAGGCCTTACTCCTTTGTTGCTAGTTACTCGAGACCTTGACCTCTTTGATAAAAGTAAGTAAACCAACAAGTTGTACAAAGTTAACCAACTTGCATTCTTCAGAATAGCATCTTTACACAACAAATATCTATTCACGAGTTTTGTCTTTCTTGATTGTAGTCAAACTGAACGTCTTCACTGAGAATTATAATCCAACTGAGGTCGTTTCTCTGTTGTTGCACCAAAATGCGTAAGTATATCTTGCAATATGCAGGACATGCTAATAGTACATACATAAATACTTTATTGGAATACTCCCAATCGAGTTTTTCAGCATACAATTACAAAGATGAAAAAAATCAATGTTAAAACTATGTTACGTTATATATATATATATATATATATATATATATATATATATATATATATATATATATATATATATATATATATATATATATATATATATATATATATATATATATACCGGGTGGCCCAAAAAAAAGTACTCATCTTTGATTCAGTATAACTTAAAAAGTAATAGAGTTCTGACACTTAAACAATAGGCATTGTATTCAGTAATGTATAACTTAAATTTTCGTATATACCATTTGCATTTTAATACAGTATTGACTGAGATAACTGCGTTTAAAGTTGAGTTAACGTTTCGGGAAATGTCGAAAATGAGCAAAAAACGGCCTATTAAAGTAATTTTGTCAACGCAACTATGCAATATCTTAGGGGGCAATTTCCTGGCCGACTGATGAGTAAACGGGGTGATTGGCCTTGGCCCCCTCGTTCTCCTGACCTGACGGTGTGCGATTTTTTTCTTTGGGGCTACTTGAAGCATCAAATTTGGAATGTGCCACATGATGAACAACCACATAATTTGAGAGAGCTTCGTGAGGCAATTGTAACAGCATGCCGCAACCTGGATGCCCAGATGATCCGAAATTCATTCGACTGCATGCTCACACAGGCAAGAAAGTGCATTCTTGCTGCGGGGCATGCATTTCCTAATGAATAGCATTTTTATCTGGAAAACAAACGTGTACTTTTCGACTGCAGTGTACCTACGCACAGGTTATTGCGGTATTAACATTTAATAGGTCGTTTTTTGCTCATTTTCGACATTTCCCGAAACGTTAACTCAACTTTAAACGCAGTTATCTCAGTCAATACTGTATTAAAATGCAAATGGTATATACGAAAATTTAAGTTATACATTACTGAATACAATGCCTATTGTTTAAGTGTCAGAACGCTTTTACTTTTTAAGTTATACTGAATCAAAGATGAGTACTTTTTTTGGGCCACCCGGTATATATATATATATATATATATATATATATATATATATATATATATATATATATATATATATATATATATATATTACAACTAATGCTATAAGTTAGAATAAAAGGTATAATAGCCCATGTGTCTTTCACTTAAATATATGTTTTGTTTTCACTCCAGTGATTGTAAAGTAGTGGACAATGAAGGACGAAGCGCTCTCCATCTGACTGCAAGAAATCATGGAACAAACGCCAGAAATATTATCAGTCTGCTTACAAGGAAAGACTCCTTTGATGTTGGTAAGTGTTACTGTTAGATGTTTTAGAATAACACCGACGCTAAACTAACTTTGGGGATAGATAGCTCCATTTTTGACCTGTGTTTCTATGTTGCCGGAATACGTTTAATTCAGCGAGGTTTATAGTTGGCGCACTAGACTGTCAGCATAATATGTATTCTAAACCCCAGATGTTCAGTTCGCACCATCCCACACTGATAGAGGTGTCCATCAAGTTTCAATTTTATATCTATATAGATCTGCGCGACATACAGGATTACTCCGCACTACACTTTGCCTCGGAAACAGGGGATGCAAACGTGTTGTTGGCTTTAATTGACAATGGAGCTAACGTGAATGCAAGAGGTCCTCTGGGACGAACTCCTCTACATATGACGGTTGGTATTATATAATCCAATGAAACTACCAGTCAACATCAAGTAAGGTTCTTCTATACCCAGTAAAAGAAGTGCCTTGACATGACCAGCATGTCCGCCTAGCTTTCCTATCATTTGATAACTACAAGATGAAAAATGTGTTTGAAAAATGTGTTTCCCCACTAAGCACTATCGTGCAGCAGATGTTGGTCAACCTGCAGTAGTTATCAGAGTGAGAAAATAATGTTATTTTTGTTATATTTTGAGACAAATATGAATAGAAGTGAGAGATTTAGTTTAATTTTCTTGCTACTATATGTAAGTGTTGAAGTTGACCGCTATCTGCTGTCCTGGAAACCCACCATGAGCGACAATTATTCATAACAATCTCTGATTTCTCACCAGGCGTCACGCGGAGATGAAAGAACTTCAGTGATATTGGTTGAGCATGGCGCAAACGTCTTGCTTGTAGACGACCTGGGTTTCACTCCCGTGGATGTCGCGACAGGAAGCAACGTACAACTCTTCTTGAAAGGTATTTGCAAAATATTGGATTTTGTTCTCTTCCTGTTTTTTTTTTTGCGATTTATTTCTGATGCAAAACAACGTTTTTTACCCCACAGAAGCATGGACGGAGCACGCGCAAAGGTCCGTGGATTCTGGGAGAGTAAAGTCGGGTAAGGAATTATAAGTTTAAATATAAATCAGATAATTTGTTAATTTAAATGTGAAGTATTCGTAAGTGTCACCATTTTGACAGCTAGTGATAATTAATTCATGTTTCAATTCATACCAGCGCCAGTTGCCGTTCCGGTAAAATTGGATCACTTGGACGCGCCAGATGTGACCAACCTTATGGTAATGTTGATTAATATATGTATACAGAACATGAGAATAATCACATATTTAATTCCTACAGTGTAGTCAATACTAAAATGCGCATTACCCAGACATTAATTTTGTTTCATAAATTTTTCATGCACAGAAGAATGATGATGAAAGTGAAAAGCCTTTGAAAAGTAGGTCTGGATTTGATGATGGTGTTGATGATGATGATGGTGATGATAATGGCGATGATGATAGTATGATGATAATGGTTATGACGATGGTGGTGGTGGTGGTTGATGGTACCTATTGACATAACTCAATGCATGTAAAAGAATTAAATTTGTCTCTTGCAGAAACCTCGAAGAAAAGTAGTAAAAAGTTACAAGGACGTTCCCACTCAGAAGAACAAACTCAACCTCAGCCTAGCTCTGGTCTACCCAGAAGGTAACAATTCACAACTGATAGACCTATGTAATAAAAATAAAATTAGTTCAGTTTTTCTCCTGTTGTAACACTGGATCATCCATTTTCATATTTCAGAACTCGCTCGTATTCCTCGGGTCCTTCACCTCGCTCGAAATTAGATCCCATCCACCAAGATATCCTCCAGTCTGATGAAGGAAGAATATCCCCTTTAACACAGAAAACAATCCTTGGCAGAACAAGTTCTTCCGAGGTGAACCTCCGGCCGAATAAAACTCGTGAGTAACGTATCAATGCATTTCACACCTATGGATTTAGACTATTTAAATTTATATTGTTGTTAACTAGCCATTTTATCTTTCAGCACAAACAGAAATTGTTCCACGACCAACTGCCAAAGTTGCCGTTTTAAATATTGACCTACAGGGACACGAGTAAGTTGATCGTCTTCGTTCTTGTGTTGTTAGTAGACACAGTGGTCAGTGCATGTGTCTTTCAGGTCTATGACGTTGTTGTTTCTGTCGCGAGGAAAGCTTCCAGTTTGACTGTACTAAAACAATGCAACATTTTCTTTAAGTTCCTTTAGAACTGATAGAAATATACAGTATAAATAAAGTTTAGTTTAGGTTTCCTCCTGTAGTAACACTGGATCAATAAGAGATGATCCTTACTGGACCTCTAGGAAGAACAGTTTAGAACTTATAGAGCTATTCAGTATAAATAAAGTTAGTTTAGTTTAGGTTTCCTCCTGCAGTAACACTGGATCAATAAGACATGATCCTTACTGGACCTCTAGGAAGAACAGTTTAGAACTGATAGAGCTATCCAGTATAAATAAAGTTTAGTTTAGGTTTCCTCCTGTAGTAACACTGGATCAATAAGAGATGATCCTTACTGGACCTCTAGGAAGAACAGTTTAGAACTGATAGAGCTATCCAGTATACAGTAAATAAAGTTTACTTTAGGTTTCCTCCTGTAGTAACATTGGATCAATAAGAGATGATCCTTACTGGACCTCTAGGGAGAACAGTTTAGAACTGATAGAGCTATCCAGTATAAATAAAGTTTAGTTTAGGTTTCCTCCTGTAGTAACACTGGACCAATAAGAGATGACTCTTACTGGATCTCTAGGAAGAACAGTTTAGAACTTATAGAGCTGTTCAGCATAAATAAAGTTCAGTTTAGGTTTCCTCCTGTAGTAACACTGGATCAATAAGAGAAGACCATTACTGGACCTCTAGGACTATCCAGTATAAGTAAGTTTAGGCTTTAATCTGTGTTCAACTTATTTTCTAGTCTTCATGGTAGACAAAAAAGCAAGAGTTGCAGTGAGCTGCCGTTCACTCGATACCGTGTGCAGAAATTATCAAATCCACGAGCATGTTCTACAGCGGCAGAACCGCTGAATAACCCTCTCAGTCTACGCGGGCGATCCGTCTCCGCTCTGTCGCTATCCTCCTTTGAAACTCTGCCTGGGATTACGCCCGAAGCAGGAGATGAGGTGAATGATGGTGTTGAAATAATGGTAGATCCTTCAGCCGAACCACAGATAGTTATCACACCACCAGCTAATGGTTCTGACCAACCCACTGACGAGCAATGCCCCAGTTCACCAGAAACAGACATTTTAAACAAAACATTCAACTCTAAAGAAAAACCTGTATTCTGGTTTCCAAATAATACCAACGTACGAAGCGACACGAACTCTACTCCTAAATTCCAAAATTCCGACCGGGGTTTTTTTGTAGACTGGAAAGAACTTGAAATCCCTTTACAAAAATGTACGAAATGCCGGGAGGAATTTAAACCGGAGGATTTAAAACCCGGTACCTCTATATGTAATATGTGCTATAGAGAATCGATCGCAAAGGATACTTTTTGGGTCCCTTTCGGTTCTGATGGCCGCAAGTCTAAATCTGGAATGCGAACTGCTGGTTCTGATGACCGCAATACAAGAACTGGAACGCAAACTGCTGATGAGCGCAAAATACAAACTGGAACGCGTTCTTCAAGCGTTGATGATAGAACAGTTTGCATCGACAAAGAAACATTGAATATTTTAAGAAAGAAAAAACTATCTGAAGGCTGTTTAGACTCGGAGCATTTTTCACAAAATTCAAAAGAGCGGTTGTCAAAAACGAAGCAGGTTTTGAAAAAGACTTTGTCAGACACGTCTCAAAATCGAAATAGTTTTGATTGTGTTAAAAGTTCGAGCAAGAATCGTGAAGAAGCTGACAGCGTAGCAAACGAACAAGAAAGCACTCGAAACAGTTTAGAGGTAAATACTCAAGTACAAATAGGAAACGATACTGTTGAAACAAACAGCTTTTGTGGTGAAGGACACAAGTCAGGCCTGATGGCTGCTGGGAGTTCACAAGAAATTGAACAACGCAGAGTAATAAGTCAAAACAATTCAGAGAAAACCACGGAAGCAGGAACAATACAATATGATAAAACTGATAGCGTTAGTGTTGACGTTGACAGTGATCCCGAGGAGCTAACAGAAAATAGTACGATATGTAGCTCTCCTTCTGTGAACGAGGAAATATCGAAAGAAAGCGATCTCAAACAACGCGAAGATACGTTGGAAGGGACACACAACGCAAATAAACCAACCGCTAACACTCCTTCGTCAAAATTTATCATCAAAGAGTTCACAAAATGCCGACAAACTTTGGAACGGCTTCGTACAGATATGATGTGCTTAGAGAAAAATGAAATATCTGCTGACGTAATTAGGCGGTTAAGCAGCCAATCAGCGGCCGAGAAAGGTGGCAAGCAACAACCAGCCACTTTAACTACGAAATCCAAACCTGTCGTACAAGTTAGGGACAAAGGAGGAGTAGTGGAGCAATAATGGATAAAAATGATCAATTAGGGAGCCGTGATGAACCGGTTAACTTGTGTCATTCAAAACAACAATTATCCAACGAAAGTCTAAAAGAAATGTCTGTCGTTGAGACTGTGCATGATGGGGTAGAGATTGCTAAGAATGGATGTAACGGGGTAGAAATGGATAAAGCAAGTGGGACAGAAATGGATAAAACTGATCATTTACGGGATGAACTTGTCAATACTGATGTTACCCCACACCAAGTTGTTATAGTAAATCCCTTCCCGTCTCCGGTACCCCCAAAAGTCCCCATAGTGAACGTCACTTCGAACTGTCAGTGCGATCGATTTGCCTCGCTCGCAAAGAACTCTGGGACGGGTGGGAAGAAAAAGGGGCGAGCAAAGAAAGGGACTGGGGCTAGTGGCCAGAAGACTGGGGCGAGTGCTTCGAGGACTGGGACGAGTTTTCAAAATAATACGGCAACCGCTCAAAAGAATGGGGCCAAGTCGAAAAAAGTTACGAGTAGAAAAGTTGAAGATGGCGGGAAGGGAAAACAGAGCTTGAGGGTAGTTTCGGCTGGCAAGAAAGGCAAAAAGAAACTCAAAGAAATTCAAAATGCAGACGTTAAAGAAATCTCAGTCATTCAGACTGAGTTGAAATCTGATTTGAATGAAGAAAATGACTTCACCCCCCGGAAGGAGGATGATATGGGGACTGGTATTGAGTCGGCACCAGTACGACAAACGACTTTTATCAAAGAAAAGTTTTCCGTCTTGAGCCCTATACCCGAAGCCTCAAGGTCGGGGAGTTCCGTAGAGGAATCGCATCCCGAGCTGTTCTCTTCGAACTCCGGTCATACCAGTGAGATTCCATCGATATCAGGGCAAGATAGATTTGTGATTAATGGAGATATGGAAAGTGAGATCTTATCGATACCAGAGCAAGATAGATCTGTGATTAATGGAGATATGGAAAGTGAGATCTTATCGATACCAGAGCAAGATAGATCTGTGATTAATGGAGATATGGAAAGCATCCGACCGAGAAGTTCGATTCACACTAGTGATGTCACATCAACTGAAGGCCAAGATATTTCTCTCATAGATACAGACATACCCCCAGGCTACGGTACAGACATACCCTCAGGCTACGGTACAGACATTGATAGCAGTTTGCCGGAAACTAATGAGAACGAGGATAATACGATTAAGCCAACTATCCCATCTCGTTTGTCCAAAAATATTATCGATGATTCACAACCAAGCAGTTCGGTGATAAACGGAAGAGTTTCGGACGACGATCTTGACGAACTGATTGAAGAGATTTTAAACGAAACGGACGAACTCGAAAAGAACCACGCAAAGTCTCACGTTTCCCATAACACGAACACGAAAGAACACGTGGTCACGGAAAGTGACAACACGAATGTTAACGCAGCCAACACAGAATTGCTCGCGAATTCGAAAAATAACACGGACATTCCTTATCAATCCAAGGAAACATTGGTTTCGAATTGGTTACTTCAACAAAATTGTCAGTTGTTCGACTACGATCTCGACGCATCCGAAAATCATCGGAATTTATCGGAACATAATTCCGATGCATCTGATTCTACACGGAATTCTTCGGAGAACCATCGAGGTCCATCGGATTTTCTTCGTGCTGTTCCGTCAGATACGATTGCCACCGATTATTCAACTTTTAGTGATGACATTTGTGGAAGCACTTCCGGCCGTGCTGACGTCACTTCCGGTCGTGCTGACGTCACTTCCGATCGTGGCAACATCACTAAGAAGACACTGGGAACGAGTTCGGAAACCATGTCGGAGAAAACAACAGTTTCTGGACCACAGTCTGAGCAGTGGACGACTAGTTCGTTGACTATATCTTTACCGACTAACAACGGTATCTCTCTCAATGAGGAAGTCAGGAGCAATGTCGTGGGACTGGTACACAGTCGGCTCAGTCGTCGTAAGTCGGAAACATCCGGCACAGGGTCGGAATTGACGTCTTCTGAAGAGGAAGAGATTGTCTGGAGGAAAGGAAATATGCTTGGCAAGGGAGCTTTTGGAAAGGTGGGTGCAAGCTGGGTTTCTGCCATAGACCATGGGGTTGTGGTTAGTGCATGTGGCTTTCGTCACCGGGGTTTCATCCCTCCAATATGCCCGGAGTTTCATCCCTCCAATATGCCCGGGGTTTCATCCCTCCAATATGCCCGGGGTTTCATCCTTCCAATATGCACATTAATGGAACAATTTTGCCTTGGTCGCCCTTCCAGGAGAGTTCTCCCAGTCTGACTCTATCAGACATCACAGCCTAGGATCTCTCGAAAGAACAGTTCAGAAATGATAGTCAGTATAAATAAAGTTAGATCATGCAAGTTTTCTGTTCCTAGGTATATTGTGGTTTGACCAACACAGGGCAGATGATCGCGGTTAAACAAGTCGAGCTCATTACGAGTAACATGGAAGAAGCGGAACGGGTAGGCAAATAATTACTAAATAATTTTACATTATGTTACATGAATGAGTGTTGAGTTCCCTGGAATCTCTTGAAATTATTTTTGCATTGTGTATTTAATATTTCTTGTAATGTATTTATTTTTTCAGCAATATGAAAAACTACAGGAAGAAGTGGCACTGTTGAAATCATTACGGCACGAAAATGTTGTCAGGTATGAAAATCCCATTTGTGACCCTTACTAACTTTATTTATACTGAATAGCTCCGTCAGTTTTAAACTGTTGTTCCTAGAGATCTAGGAAAGATCATCTCTTATTGATCCAGTGTTTCAATAAGAGGAAACCGGATTACTCGGAAAAGACTGGAATATATCTGAAAAACGTCTGTGGTGTTTGGTAGAGTCAAACTGGAAGCATTCTTCTCACATGTGACTGAGGTGAAATTATAATGAGACAACTGAATATTGCAGGAATCAAACCTCAGTCACAGAGATGAAAAATACATGCACTTAATTACCAGCCGCCACTAGTACCTCAATGACTCTGTTGAATCCTGTGTTCTTAATCATATTCATGTATTTCTAGTTATCTTGGCACGTGTCTTGATGGTGGTGTTGTTAATATCTTTATGCAGTTTGTTCCTGGCGGTTCAATTGCTTCTATACTGGCAAGGTATCGCTCTGCTTGAAGTAAACTAATTCTATATATACTGGGTGACTGTTTCACTTCTAGACTTTCTTCTCTACAGGGCCGGCAATGGACCTGTTGATGCAGTTCTAACTTTCTATTTTGATTTAGATTTGGTCCTCTGGAGGAACGAGTGTTTAGATATTACACGAAACAAATCTTGGTTGGCGTTGAGTATTTGCATAGAAATAACGTCGTTCATCGGTAAGACTGCGATTAACTAAATTAAGCTAGCTTTATTTATACTGGATATCTCCTATAACTGTCTAAGTTATAGAAGGCTAACCTAAATTAAACTAACTTTATTTATACTAAATGGCTCTATCAGTTTTAAACTCTTCTTTCTAGAGGTCCAGTAAGGATTATCTCTTATTGATCCAGTGTTACTACAGAAGGAAACCTAAATTAAACTAACTTCATTTATACTGGATAGCTTTATCAGTTCTAAACTGTTCTTTCTAGAGGTCCAGCAAAGTCAATCCCTTTTTAATCCACTGTCACTACAGGAAGAAACGTGTTCTATACGGTTACTATAGTTTTCAATATTTTCTTTTCCAGTGACATTAAAGGTGGTAATATAATGCTGATGCCCACAGGAGTGATCAAATTGATTGATTTTGGTTGTGCGAAACGACTTTACATGGTGAGTCTTGTGGTAGTAATCAGGTTCATTTTCATCTTAAAGCATTTAACTGCGTGTTTCCCAAAGGAAGGGTCTGTGCTAGCGTAGGAAGTGATAATATTTGTATTTTTAAGGCAGTTGATTTCCTCTCAAGTAGGGCCGTATCTAGACCGATAATTGGGGAGGGGGGCATATTCATATATTCGTGTTCTGCCCAACGGATTTCTTTTGAAAGCGATTGTTTTTACGGTATGTGAACATGAATATATGAATATACCCCCCCCCCCCCCACCTCACAATTATCTTGTCTAGCTACGGCGCTGCTCTTAATCCACAGATTTCTTGGGTTATGTGAAACCTCATCGGAAAACACTTAATAAAGTTGTGATAAATTTGCAGTATACGTTGGAAGTTGTATTGTTGACACGCCCCCCATTTCTCAACAGATTTAAATATCTCTCAAACCTAGTCCTAAAAGAGTGGCGGCAGGGGGGTGAATCCCATTGCATAGCGCACTAATGTGTCAGAGTGAGGAAATAATGTTATTATTTTTAGAACATGAGTCAGAGCCAAGGAGATTTACTTCGCTCGATGAAAGGGACGCCATACTGGATGGCGCCTGAAGTCATCAGGGAAACTGGATATGGCAGAAAGTCTGATATATGGTGAGAATACACGCTTCCGGATAGTATATCACCTTGGTTATAGAGTATAGAGTCTCGTTGTCCTGATAGAGACGTAGACTTAAATAATCTCACGTACACGAAGACGAGACTCTGTATAGCCAAAGTAGCCCCGTTTGAAAACCAAGTTCTCCCATTTGAAAAGGGAGTTCTGGCACTTGAAAACGGAGTTCTGGCTTTTGAAAACCACGTTCTCCCATTTGAAAAGGGAGTTCTGGCATTTGAAAACGGAGTTCTGGCTTTTGAAAACCACGTTCTCCCATTTGAAAAGGGAGTTCTGCCACTTGAAAAGGGAGTTCTGGCTTTTGAGAACCAAGTTCTCCCATTTGAAAAGGGAGTTCTGCCACTTGAAAAGGGAGTTCTGGCTTTTGAAAAGGGAGTTCTGGCATTTGAAGACTGAGTTGTAAGGGTGTTTTGCCATGTGAAAAGGGTGTTTTGTTATTTGAAAAGGATGTTTTGCTATTTGAAAAGGGCGTTTTGCCATTTGAAAAGGGCGTTTTGCCATTTGAAAAGGGTGTTTTGCTATTTGAAAAGGGTGGTTTGCCATTTGAAAAGGGTGTTTTGCTATTTGAAGAGGGTGTTTTGCTATTTGAAAAGGGTGTTTTGCTATTTGAAAAGGGTGTTTTGCTATTTGAAAAGGGTGTTTTGCTATTTGAAAAGGGTGTTTTGCCATTTGAAAAGTGTGTTTTGCTATTTGGAAAGGGTGTTTTGCCATTTGAAAAGGGTTTTTTGCCATTTGAAAAGGTGTTTTGCAATTTGAAAAGGGTGTTTTTCTATTTGAAAAGGGTGTTTTGCCATTTGAAAAGGGTGTTTTGCCATTTGAAAAGGGTGTTTTGCTATTTGAAAAGGGTGTTTTGCAATTTGAAAAGTGTGTTTTGCTATTTGAAAAGGGTGTTTTGCTATTTGAAAAGGGTGTTTTGCCATTTGAAAAGGGTGTTTTGCTATTTGATAAGGGTGTTTTGCCATTTGAAAAGGGTGTTTTGCTATGGCTAGGATTAGCTAAGGTTTAGGATTAGGGAAAGATTATGAAGAGTAGATTTCTGGAACCTTTATAGGAGCATTGGGTGTACGGTGTTTGAAATGGCCACTGGAAAACCACCTTGGTAAGTTTTTATGTTACAGTTATTCCTAAACTAACTTTATTTATACTGGATAGCTCTACCAGTTCTAAACTGTTCTTCCTAGAGGTCCAGTAAGGATCATCCTCTGATTGAGTCAAACTGGAAATATTCTTCTCGCATGTGACTGGAGATAGACACACGTTCATCATTCTATTTTCTCCATGACAGGTCGCACTTGCCTCCGATGTCCGCCATCTTGGCGATTGGTCAAGGATCAGAGCCTCCCAAACTTGACAAACCAAATTCTGACGATGCTTGTGATTTTGTTGCCATTTCCATGGCACGGTAAGTTGAAGAACCTAAACTAAACTGACTTTATTTATACTGGATAGCTCATCAGTTCTAAACTGTTCTTCCTAGAGGTCCAGTAAGGATCATCTCTTATTGATCCAGTGTTACTACAGGAGGAAACCTAAACTAAACTAACTTTATTTATACTGGATAGCTCTATCAGTTCTGAACTGTTCTTCCTAGATGGTGCAGTAAGGATCATCTCTTATTGATCCAGTGTTACTACAGGAGGAAACCTAAACTAAACTAACTTTATTTATACTGGATAGCTCTATCAGTTCTAAACTGTTCTTCTTAGAGGTCCAGTAAGGATCATCTCTTATTGATCCAGTGTTATTACAGGAGGAAACCTAAACTGAACTAACTTAATTTATACTGGATAGCTCTATCAGTTCTGAACTGTTCTTC